CTCAAATGGGCCGGGAGAAATGAGAGGGGTGAAAAATAATCTGGATCTTCAGCAGTACAGTTTTATCAATCAGATGTGTTATGAGAAGGCTCTACATTGGTATGCCAAGTACTTTCCCTATTTGGTTCTCATGCACACACTGGTTTTCATGGTGTGTAGCAATTTCTGGTTTAAATTCCCCGGATCAAGTTCAAAAATAGAGCATTTCATCTCTATGCTCAGCAAGTGCTTTGACTCCCCATGGACCACACGGGCATTGTCTGAGGTGTCTGGAGAGAATCCAGAGGAAAAAGACCAGAAAAAGAGCGGAACATCTAGGTCCACTACTCCATTGTCTCCTGAAGAAAACAGTCTGGAGAAGACGCAGTCCCTCAGGTCTATTCCGGAAAAGATTGTGGTGGAAAAGCCGTCAGCAAGTGCCCTTGATAAAAAAGAGGGTGAGCAAGCCAAGGCTCTGTTTGAAAAGGTAAAGAAGTTTCGATTGCACGTGGAAGAGGGAGATATTCTTTACCTTATGTACGTTCGTCAGACTGTGTTTAAGGTCCTGAAATTCCTTGTGATCATTGCCTACAACAGCTTTCTAGTGAATAAAGTGCATAACAGAGTTTGTTGTGAAGTCAAGGAAATTCAAGACGTTACAGGATATACAGTGTTTGAATGTAATCACACCATGGCTCATCTGTTTTCCAAGCTGTCTTACTGTTACCTGTTTTTGGTGGCTATCTATGGATTAACAAGCCTCTACACTTCCTATTGGCTGTTTTACCGCTCACTTAAAGAGTATTCCTTTGAGTATGTGCGTCACGAAACCGGCATCAGTGACATCCCAGATGTTAAAAACGACTTTGCTTTCATGTTGCACATGATTGATCAGTATGACCCACTGTATTCCAAGAGGTTTGCTGTTTTCCTCTCAGAAGTCAGTGAGAACAAGCTGAAACAACTCAATCTGAACCATGAGTGGACCCCAGATAAATTGCGTCAGCGACTCCAGACAAACCAAAACAACAGACTTGAACTTCAGCTCTTCATGCTCCCTGGTTTACCCGATACCGTCTTTGAGTTGACGGAGCTGCAGTCGCTCAAGCTTGAGATCATCAACAATGTCACCATCCCTGCATCAGTCTCTCAACTGGAAGACCTCCAGGAGCTGTCTCTCTACCAGTGCTCTTTGAAGCTGCACACAAGTGCTACTTCTTTCCTCAAAGAGAACCTGAAAGTGCTTCGTGTCAAGTTTGATGACAATAAGGAACTTCCGAATTGGATGTACGTTCTGCGTAACCTAGAGGAGCTCTACCTCTCCGGATCACTCGGTCCTGATGCTTCAAAGAATATCGTTCTTGAGTCTCTTCGTGAGCTTAAGTGTCTGAAAACTCTCTATCTTAAGAGCAATTTGACAAAAATCCCACAGTCAATTGTGGACGTGTCAAGTCATCTGCAGAAGCTGTACTTGCACAATGATGGAACAAAGCTTGTAATGCTCAACAATCTGAAAAAGATGACGAGCTTGATTGAGTTGGAGCTTGTGCGTTGTGATCTTGAGCGCATTCCACATGCAATCTTCAGCCTGACAAGCCTCCAGGAACTTGACCTGAAAGAAAACAACCTTCGCTCCATTGAGGAAATTGTCAGCTTCCAGCATCTCCGAAAGCTTATTTGTCTCAAGCTGTGGCACAACGGCATCATGTACATCCCAGAGCATATCAAAAAGCTCAGCAGCCTGGAGCGCCTTTACTTCAGCCACAACAAGATTGAAATCTTACCCTCACATCTATTCTTGTGCAACAAGCTGCGCTACCTTGATCTATCCCACAATGACATCCGATTCATCCCTCCCGAAATCGGGGTACTTCAGAGTCTGCAGTACTTCTCAGTCACATGTAACAAACTTGAAAACCTTCCAGATGAACTGTTTTTTTGCAAAAAGCTCAAAACAGTAAAGCTGGGCAAGAACTCACTGTCCATCCTCTCACCAAAGGTTTCTTACCTCACTCTGCTGACCCACTTGGAGCTCAAAGGCAACCACTTTGAGTTCCTGCCACAAGAGCTGGGTTGCTGTTGTGCTTTGAAGCGTAGTGGCCTTATAGTGGAAGAGACACTGTTTGAAACTCTGCCTTCAGATGTAAGGGACCAAATGAAGGCAGAGTGAGATGCCTTACTATAGCCCCAGTGCCTGTTGTTTGCTCTATCAATTCAGAGCATTTGTTTTATATAAAATTATTCTAAACCCTAACTATTACACTACTTGTAAGAAACATATATCGCTGTATTAATGTGGCAGCTACAGGGATTTTTCAGCCACTTGACATGGAAATAAGGGAAAAATAAACATATTTCTTTTGCTGCAGTGAGAAATGTATGAATAATGTTCCTGTAGATTGAACACTGATGAGTCACTAAAAGGGCTTGTGGTTTGCAGGTCAAGCAAACCCTCTAGTGTCTTATACCTGTGTTATTGCGATATTTATCTTCTGATTTGTGTCATTGACTGAATTAAGCATATTTTATTCTGTTGTTTTGCTATTTTCATGTCCACATATAGTTTTTGATAAGGAAATGTAAATCTAAAATGAAGAAATCATTAACTGCAAATGGAGTAAATGGAAGCTAGAAGTCCACAGTCATTCAACTATTTTGTAACTCATGAAAAATTATTGTGTTCATTTGAAGTATTTTCCAACGCTGGATAAGTATGAAAGAAAAAAAAAGTTGATGAAAACAAATAACTTAAGGCATTTTCTTTGTGCCATGTTCTAGATGATAAATATCCAAACCATTTTAATGTTAAATTTTAATTAAAAGATGCACATCCATCAACCTATAAGTTTGACTATTTATTCAAAAAACCATTCATGCCCCCCTCATTCTTTTCATTAGTTTTTCAACCCATCAGTCATCCATTCATTCCTTTAACTATGCATAAACCCATCAGTTATCATAATCATTTCTAGACTCATTACTGTATCGATCTTTGAACTGCATATTCGTCAACCTACATGTCTGTCCATTCATTCTTCTTCAAGTCCATCTGCCCTCTATTGGTCTTCAGTTTGTCCATCTGTTGGATTGTCCACTTATCAGTCTATTACTCCATCTGTCCGTCCATATAATCATTTCTACACATCCATGTTGCTGTTCATACGCTCATCTACCTTCCCACCCACTGACCCTTAAATACAGTCAACTTTCTCTCTGTCCATCAAACCATCCATCCATGAGTCAGTCTGTCCATTCATGAAAAAAAAAACTTTGGAAATATTGGAAATTTTTATTCAAGATGTACAAGAGCCCTGGCAGCCTTACACCTTCATATGTATGCAATACACCAATCCCATTTTCAGAACCTTTTGCTAATAAAAACCTATATTTAACTTTTGTTAAATCGATCATGTCAGCTACTGATACTGAATAACCACAGGACTTAAAAGTTCACATGAATTTGTACAAATCATTAATTAATGATTGGATAAAGTCTGTGTTTTATTTATACTTACACTCACACCTGCTTAGTGATCTGTTGACTGCATAACTTTCCAAAACAATCTTAACTCTATAGATCTTTACCTTTTGCCTTCACCTCTCAGTTTTTCCACCAGGTCTTTTTGGACTGATTCATTGGCATCCATTTCTAAATGTATTTATGTTTTCTATTATGAATAGAAAAAAAAAGAGATGATTAATAAATGTTAGAGTGAATTCCTTTGCTGTTGTCTCTGTTACAGCAGGACTAAAACGGCTTGATATTAAGCTAATCCTATTTTGGATCTTTGTTGCTTTTCTGGAAATGGGGTCGGTCTATTAAACATCTTTCATGTGACTTATTTCACACTGGAGTAAAGCAAAGAAAATGACATAAACTAGTCAGGACTTGGCTTCACTTTTATGCAATGTAGAAATTTGTCATTTAAAGTGCATTAAACGTGGCAAATTACATTGATGTCTTATTTTGTCTTACTTGTTTTATAAACATGCATTACTTTCTACTTCAAAACTTAAAACAAATAATACACACCTCAGCAAATTAAAATATCACAAGAGCAAAATTATGTCGGTTCAGTTCAAAAAGTAAAAGCCACTCATCCAGTTTCATTAAAGTGATGTTTTCAGCTTTATTTCTGTTCATTTTGATGGTTACGGCTTACAGCTAATGAAACCTCAAATGTAATTTCTTTTTATATTTGAATAAATATAAATGTTGTGGTTATTTACGTAACTTGAAAGTTATTGTGCAAACTTTTTTTTTCCACTACACATTCAAATATGCTTGCGCTGTAAATTGAGGTTTTCCATGTTATCGCAATAACATAGCTGTTCTTTGTAAAAAATACAAAACATTTTTTTTATTGGTCGCTTATTAGTTCTAATTTGTGATTTCATTTTGGGTCATTAAGTTCATGACTACCCTCAAAGGACGAGTTGTGGCAGAATTCATCGATAAAAGCCATAAAAAAACTGCTGAAATCTAAATAGATGTTTCTGCATTTATGAAAAAGATTATATTGAACATTATTTGCAATTTCGCACAATACAGATAAAAACTGTTTTGTGAAAGTTTTTTTATTTTTTTCATGTGGACCGCTAGGTTCTAGAGAAAAGCTATGACGGGCCCATTCGGTGCCTGGGCCTTGAATTGAACACTTTTAAACCATTGCCATTGAAAGTAACAGAAAAATATATCCCTTTGTGTAAAATACAAAGTTTGTGAGTTGAACTGATAAATGAGTTCATTCATTCCCTCTTTTATTAGGATCTGTAAAATCTTCTGTCTTATGTGTTATGGTATATCGGCTTGTTTTTGAGATCTTAGTGAGTTTGAAAAAAATGAAGAATGACAAAGATTTGTGTACATGCAGAATGACACGAACATATCGTTTTTCTTTTAAGTAGTCAAGAAAGTATCATTTTTTACTACCTCATTGTCACAGCATGCCTCCAAATGAACGCAGTTATGTGACGAGTTAATGATCTGGGCATTTTACTTCAAATTCAGCGTTGACAATTTGCCGACGGTCCCTAGAGTCAGTAGGCCATCTCTTGTCTTTACTGTCGGTCTGAGCGGTATTCCCACAGCGCGCAGTGCTGTAGGGCTAACTGCATTTAACTGCATTTTCTGCGCCACCATGTGAGATTTGCGGCCCTGACAGATCGTGCTGCGGGTCATCGGTGAGTTCGGAAGGGACGCGTCCAGCCGGGTCCACCTCCAGCAGCCGCTGCTGTGTCTACGGCAGAGGACCCGACCATCTGCGGCGGAGCGGGGGTAGTCTGCTAATCCGCTTAACGCAGCACCGGACACCGGGAAAAAATGCGAAGAAAGGACGACTTCATGGGCTCGGCGAGGAATGAGGTGTAAAATGGGGCGTTGTTCGGATCAGCTGAAGTCCAAATAGCGGAATCAGCAGGCCTGAAGGTGAGTACCCTCCTGGACTGGAGGTGCTGATCTCTGTTTATCAATGTCTATTTATGGCTCTGTAGCGGTAGCGAGAGAGACGGGGCTGTTTATTACACAGGGTAAACAGTTGCATTTAGAAATCAGATGCATTGATTATGTGAGCAGCGTGTTATTATAATGAGAGCTCCTCCTCCTTTCCTGCGTCCATGGATGCGCCTTCCTGATGGAGCCGGTCTCAGCCTGCTCTGCTGCCGCTCTGATAAATACTGACCTTGATGTGTTGCAGAATAAAAAACCAACCAGATTTTATGGCTTCCTAAATTCTAACCAGCGTTTTCTCCTTCTTCTGCATTTTAGCTACAGTGAAACAGCAGCATGCTCACTTGGCCTCCACCGTTGGGTTTGTTGGATTTACTGACCCATTCAATAAACTAGAATATTATCAAAAAGTGCATTTATTTCAGGAACTTTTACCATAAACTGAAACACATTATATAGATTAATTAAACACAGAAGACCTTTATTCCTGTTATAATTTTTCAATCAGTTGATACACATTTAAAATTACAATATTACATCAGACCAATAAAAAAAAAAAAATACAGAAATATGGGCTTACTGAAAAGTATGTTTAATAACTCTTTTCAAGTTTTCATTTTTTAAAGGTACATTATTCTGATATACCAGTCTCCTCAAAACGCATATTGTCATTTTTGGAGTATCACAGAACAGCATGCAGTATTAATGGCAGAGCCAGCCCAAGTAATAAGAGAACAAAGCTCCTCCTTCAGAACCCACAAAGATCGCTTACACTCTTGCACAGAATAAAATATTGCAAAACTCCAAACCTTTCATTTTAAGTTGCTTAGATTTTTTTTTAATGTAGAATTTAATATAACTAAAATGCTCAAAGAATAAGCTTATTTAAATTGCATATTTCCTGCTTCTTAAGCAATTTAAACACATTTTCAGTATGTTTGAGGTAAGGCAGTGGTAGCAATGCATCATGCTGAGAGCTTTGGGTGTTTCAACAAGACTATGAGTCAAAGTACACATTAAAACATAAATATTGAGTTTGTGGCTCATACAAACACCCCTCTGCCATGTGCTGCTCATCTCCAAATGAGGCATCCTCTTTAAATTCTGTCCTCTTCAGGCCTTCTGAGAGTTAAAGGAAAGTCGAATTTTCTCTACAGATCTCTAAAAACGTGTCGTACAAATAGTTTACCAAAAGACAGTCAAATCTCACTGCAAAAGAATCATTAGATATCAGTCAGTGCAGTACAGTGTATAATTAGTCCTACAAAACATGCCTATTTTAATATTCTCATTCATACAGGCCATAATTATCTTGGTCATTAAATTTAAGGGCGATCTTGACTTAATCCCCTATTCCATAAACAAAGTTGTTTTTACTCAGTCACTGATCCAAGAGCAAGCTCTTGGTGGTAAACATGGGAGAGGCTGCCACAACCTGTGATTAGGGGAGAAAAAAACTGCAAGCAGCCCACATGGTACTTGTGTCAAAGCCTATATAAAAACACAAGGCAGCTGTGATATTCAGTCCTTTTTTAGGTATCTAATTGGGCTGGTGTTACAATTCAGCTAGCAAGTGGAAAGTGCCCGGTTTGAATAATCCTGATGCATGTTTTCTTACCATTTTTTTTCAGTGAAGTTCACTTGCACTGCTTCTTTTTGCAGGAATGTTCACCCTCACTGAAGTAGCTTCTCTTAATGACATCCAGCCAACCTATCGGATTCTGAAACCATGGTGGGATGTCTTTATGGATTATCTTGGTATTGTCATGCTGATGTTGGCCATATTTTCTGGAACCATGCAGCTGACGAAGGACCAGGTCGTTTGTCTTCCCATCTTGGACCAAGCGCAAGGTGGGTCAGGGGGCTTCTTGGAAATCCACACACCTGAGCCGAGTGATGGTTTCTGGAACAAGGAGAATGCAATTGGGGAGCAAGCAGCACCTTTAATGTCAAAACGACCTCCTAAAGGCATTGTACCTTCAAGTCCCTTCCCACAGTCGTCTGAGTTCATGCAGCCACCGCCTAAAGGGGTCCGAACCAAACTGGACTTTCAGCAGTATGTTTTTGTCAATCAGATGTGCTACCATGTTGCCCTTCCTTGGTATTCTAAATATTTCCCTTACCTTGCTTTAATTCATACTATTGTATTGATGGTCAGCAGCAACTTCTGGTTCAAATACCCAAAGACAAGTTCAAAAGTTGAACATTTTGTTTCCATACTTGGAAAATGCTTTGAGTCACCTTGGACTACCAAAGCCCTATCCGAGACCGCGTGTGAGGACTCGGAGGAGAATAAGCAGAGGCTGATTGGTGCTTCCACCCTCCTGAAACATCTCTCCACCAGCAGCGAGGAGGGCAGTCCAAACCAGTCAGACCCAGTAGGAAACAAATCAGGAGTTGCCTTTTCTGCCGAAAAGCTTGTGAGTGAGGTTCCTTCCATGACCATTCTGGACAAGAAAGACGGTGAGCAGGCCAAGGCCCTGTTTGAGAAGGTCCGGAAATTCCGTGCACATGTTGAAGACAGTGATTTGATATACAGACTGTATGCTATTCAGACGGTCATCAAAACTGTGAAATTTATTTTGATCCTGTGCTACACAATGACATTTGTGGCATCTATTGATTTTGACCATGTGTGCGAACCAGAAATAAAGCATTTGACGGGATATTCCAAGTTTCACTGCACCCATAACATGGCTTTTATGTTAAAGAAACTCCTTGTCTGCTACATTGCACTCATATGTGTTTATGGCATTATCTGCATTTACACACTGTTTTGGCTCTTTCGCCGACCTCTGAAAGAGTATTCCTTTGAGAAAGTCAGAGAGGAGAGCAGTTTCAGTGACATCCCTGATGTTAAGAACGACTTCGCATTCCTCCTCCACATGGTTGATCAGTATGACCTGTTGTACTCAAAGCGCTTTGGTGTTTTTCTGTCTGAGGTGAGCGAGAACAAACTTAGAGAGATTAGCCTTAACCATGAGTGGACCTTTGAGAAGTTACGGCAGCATGTGACCCGCAATCCTCAAGATAAATTGGAGCTTCATCTTTTCATGCTGTCCGGTGTCCCCGATGCTGTGTTTGATCTTACAGACTTGGAAATCTTGAAACTAGAATTAATTCCAGAGGCCAAGATAACAGCTAAGATCTCACAAATGATCAACCTTCAGGAGTTGCATTTTTACCACTGTCCGGCCAAAGTTGAGCAGACGGCTTTTATTTTCCTCTGTGATCACCTCCGGTGCCTTCATGTCAAGTTCACAGATGTTGCTGAGATTCCCAGCTGGGTGTACTTGTTGAAGAATTTACGGGAGCTGTATTTAGTTGGAAACCTGAACTCCGAAAACAACAAGCTTATTGGACTCGAGTCTTTGCGAGATCTCCGGCACCTGAAGATTTTGCATCTTAAAAGCAATCTGACAAAAATCCCAACAAACATTACGGACCTTTCTCCACACCTGGTTAGATTAGTCATTCACAATGATGGCACAAAGCTCTTAGTGCTGAACACTTTAAAGAAAATGATTAATCTTGCAGAGCTCGAGTTGCATAACTGTGAGCTGGAGCGCATACCCCATGCCATCTTCAGTCTGAACAACCTTCAGGAACTTGATCTAAAATCGAACAACATCCGCACTATTGAAGAGATCATCAGCTTCCAGCACCTCAAAAGACTAACTTGTCTCAAACTGTGGTACAACAAAATCATCAGTATTCCACTGTCGATTAGTCATGTGAAAAACCTGGAGTCTCTCTATCTGTCACACAACAAACTAGAGTCTCTGCCCGCCCCGTTGTTCACTCTCCTCAAGCTAAGATACCTCGATCTTAGTCATAATTCAGTAGCGGTAATCCCACCGGAGGTTGGCTTCCTGCAAAACCTCCAACATTTTGCCATTACAGGCAACAAAGTCGAGGTAGTCCCCAAGCAGATGTTCAAGTGCGTCAAGTTAAGGACATTATGTCTCGGCCACAACTGCATCACCTCCATCCCAGAGAAAATCGGCCACCTCTCACAGCTCACGCACCTGGAATTGAAGGGAAACTGCCTGGATCGTCTACCGGTTCAGCTAGGTCACTGCAGCCTCCTCAACAGGAGCTGTCTGCTTGTAGAGGACCATCTCTTTGACTCCCTGCCTATTCAAGTCAAAGAAAGCATAATTCAGGAAGCTGGTGTTTCCTTTCCAAATGGGTGTAAATGCTTAATGGAAGGGCGGTAATTTAGTGAAATTTTATGCCTTTTTTCCTGTTGTTTCCAGCACACAAAAGACATTGTAATTTAACTTTGAGTGCACACTACAGATTAGCATAGCCCAAAACCTGAGTGTGGTGTTATGAAGATAATTTAGTGAAAGCCCTAACGGTATTATGGCCTGTCTCATGTTTGGATATAATCTTCTTCTATTTTTGTGTCTGGTTCATGTGAAAACATATTGAGAATTGAAACATGTCTTTCCTAATCTTCTGCATGCCAGCTTATGCTTTGTGAATTTAGGGAACTTTATAACCACAGCACAAATCCCATAATGTCACTCGGTTTTAATTTACATTTTTGGTAGATTAGCTCGTTTCCCTAAGACATGTTTTTTGGCACTATTTGTCAAAATGTACCAGTGCACTAAATTTCAGTGAGTACTACATGTTCTGGTCAGTAAAAAAAAATTGACCTTGGGGTTTTCCTCTGCCCATGTACTGTATTCCACCAAAGCTTTGCTAACTAGCAAAGAGTTCGAGTTGCATAACTGTGTAGCTTTCTGGTTAACATACCTCAATCTTCTGACGTATATCACTACAAAAATGACATTACAAAAATGACCTGTCTTCCCAATATGTCATAAAGATCTAATTTTAACTCTAATATTTTTTATTTTTCTTTAGTTCAATTTTTGGTTATTTTCTTAACAGACCTCTCTGTTAAAAAAGACAGTGGACTTAAAAGTATAAGTACATTTACTTACACTTTTAAGTCTAAGTGTATACTTACTTACACTTACTTTCAAGTAAGTGCTTTAAATGTTAAAGTGCTTACTTTCACTTTTAAAGAAAGCATTTTTTCCCCTCTGGGCAACTTTTTACATTGCATTACTTGTAACTCTGCCTGTTCTAAAAGTAATGCTAGATACTGATGGTTCAAGTGAACAATATTAACCAGCCTACTTTCTTTGTTAGATATTGCCCACCGATCTTTCACGCTAACCTTTATGTGCATGTTTAACTATAACACCAAGGAGCACAAGCGAACAGTACTTTCTCATTAAATATGTTTTCACTTTGTGTTTTGTGTTCTGGAGGATTCATTAATAACTTCAGTTTAACTATTTCAGTCTGTCATAATTATGATTTTATTTTTATTTAATGTGTCCTGTTGCAATGTTGCGTTTTATGAATTGCCTGTTTGCTTTTTCTTTGTCAAGTAATTTTTCATGTAAAACCTTTTTTTACTGTCTGTTTTGAGAGGATTATATAATGTTAGAATTTTTCTGCTGCATTTTGCCTGGTTTTAGATCTTGCTACACAAATAAACAGATTCCTATTCTCTACAATTGTTGTTATTAAAATGCTGCTAATAATCAGTGTTTCTATTCAAATTGTGTTATTGTCATTCAAAACTTGCCTTTTTGTTAGAAATCATTAGCATAGTTTTAATTAGTCATTTCTTACTTAAACATTACTCTCTGTTAGCAAAGTATACAGAGTGGACGTGATCAAATGTTTCTTTTGTACTACACACTATGTGGAATTTTGAGGAAATGCATGAATAATGAAAACTGCACAAAATCTGCTTTAAAAAATACCAAAACATATTCGGCATTTCATTTTGTAGAAATGTATCTACAGAATGAGTGTGTTTCATGTACCTGCTCTGGAGCCTATGTTTTTTGATAGAGTGATGACAGTAATGCAACATTTCTCTCAGCAATATGCGACTTGTAAACACTGTAAATCTGCAGAACACTGGACATATGACAGCTGCTTTTTATTGCTCCATCTCACTGGGAAAGTTGACCACAGTCAACCCTTAAAATCTCCAGTCACGACTAAGTTAAAAATAATCTACATAAATAAGTTCTACAATGAATGCAACCACACAATATTAGGAAAGGAGATTGAACAACGAAGGGAAAACTTCAAGCAAATATTTTAGCCTATGTTGCCCTCTAGTGGACGGAAGATGCTTCTGAAAGTGTGACTTCACAATGATACAAACGTGCAATTGCAGCAAATTGAATTGGTTTCTCAAGAGTAGATGAAATTAACAAACGTTACTGGGGTTATGTCCAAATTCGTCACTATAATCTACTTTAGTTTAGTTGTACCAGGTGTGCTTCAAGGCCCTAAATATTCTTAGAAATACAGCTGCATGTATCGATTTTTTTTTTTAAAAGGTAAAGGAACGGGAGCTGCGACACTGAGGTTTCTGTAGGAGTGTTTCTATTGCAAATGTGCACACATCTTTGTCAGTATTTTGCTAATATTGAAAAAAAAAACAACATTTTTGCAATTGTGAAAATCACACATAAATAAGCTTGTTCATTTGATAAGTCACTCAAAAATCCTGGCAGAAATGGATCTGAACAGTTATGTGAGATAAATTCATAATTTTAGACTGTGATTTTGCAGAAGAGTTATGGATTTAACATGTATGAATGACACACGACTTTCTATGAACTGGGCGATGCAGTGAGAGCTCTGGTGGAGCCAGCTGCAGATTGTTATAAAAAAAATAAATAAATAAACAAAAAACCCATCATAGTCTGGTTCCCCTCTTCATTGTTTTCACCACTAGTAACATCTGGTTGTAGGAACTTTGGGCTACAACCAGGGAACTTTGGTGAAATTTTATGCCTTTTTCCTGTTATTATTTGCAATTGATATTTGACAGCAATATCAATTGCTGTCAAACTGGGACACCACTCATTTTCAATTATGCTTTTATATTTCAGTAAGTATTGGCAGGCTAAAGCTATCTAAAGAGCCAATGTTGTGTATTCCCCAGAGTGTATTCCCCAGAGACATGGTGCCAGTTTAGAAAACATAGAACCTCTGTCAACTTCAGTTATGAGAATGCTATAAATCCAAAATATCTTAGAAGTAAGTTAACGCTCTGTCTCTTTAAAACCTCCTGCTCTTCCTGAAACTCTGCCTTCAGGAAGTCATCACAATAACCCTCTATCAATGTTTTTACCTGCGTTGTGCTGAGAAGTAGCTCATATAATGAGCTCAGCAGATGGCACTTTCACAAGGTGTTTGCTAATTGCTGCTGGCTAGTCTGAAGGAGCCGGGTGGGGGAGATCAGGGGAAGAACTGCTCTGTGAGACAGAATGGGAAGCAGGGAAACAGCAGCTCAGAGGAGGAGCTGCGTCTCGAAGGTGGCGCTCGGTCCACCCAGTTGTTTTGCACATCTGAATGGTTGCCATAGAGACTAAAGGATTTCTCAAACATGCATGAAAGAAGTGACTAACATTACAACATGATGTGCAGCTGAAAACTGTAGATTTCACATCATACTACCCCTTTAGAAGCAGAAGTCCAGTTAGCGGTCGTCATAAACACTTAGCACGCACCGCGCCTCCGGAAGAAACGACAGGAAGTGGTCATCATAGCCAGCCAGGCTTCACCGCCATAACATCCTGCCACTTTTTAAAGACTCACAGTCTGTTTGTCCGCGTTGAGCTTCGACACGTCAGCAGGAGAAACGAGTTACCGCTTTAACGACCCACGGAGCGCGTGAGCAGCCAGTCTCATTTGAGGCCCGTTTCGTCGTTGGCTGTTAACAGATTCTGAACAGAAGCCAGGTGAGGATAACAAAGCGCTCTAATTGGAACAGCAAGAGTTCCCAAAGCCGCCCCCACTCCTGCTATTCTCTGGTAATAAGACGCTTTCTCTTACTCTCCCGCACATGGCACGCGCTGCGAGTTTCTGGATGTGCACGCGGACCTTCCACTCCCGCCGATGACCCCGAGGAAAGCGGCGGAACAGCGACAGCGCTTTGCAGAGCACTCGCGCGGCTGATGAGCTGTAATTATGCTCTTAATTATTTCTGCGGGGCGATATGCTCCGACGACGAGAACCACCCCCTCTCCCTCACCTCCCACTCTCCTCCCCCCCACGCGAGTCCTCCATCCTCCGTGCAAATGAAGTCGTCGGGTATTTTGAAAACATTCGGTGATGAAACTCTCCAGTGAAGTCCGTTAATTACTGCGCAGCCACGTGTCAGCGCCCTTAGAAGGGAGCTTTGATGTCTCCTTAACCAGGCTGGTAATCAAGGCTGCGCGTCGCGCGTGATTGGCTGTAATTGGGACAAGTTGTTTAGACTAAAAAAAAAAAAAAAAAAAAAACAGAAAAGAGAGACAGAGAACGAGAGAGGGAGAAAAAGAGGAAAAACAGGTTGGTTTTGTGAGGGTTGGTTGGTTGCTGCTGGATGACTTTTTTGACGGCTGCTTCGAACAGCCACAGCTCCCAGACACACACACACACGCACACGCACACACACACACACACACACACACACACACACACACACACACACACACACACACACACACACACACATCCTGTGCCCAGGGGGTGAGGAAGCCTTGTCACTTATTAAGGAGGCTGTTGCCATGAAGTGACAGATGTCCTGATGTGATCTGTCTGCATCTTTGGCCTCCATCTGTCTTGTTAGTACACATAGTTAAGGATGGTGTGAGGAGACGGAGCTGTTCTTCTTTCATATATTCTAAATGCATTGGAAGCCCAAGCCGCCTCTCCTGGCAAAGTCTTTGACAACAGGCTCACAGCTCTTCGTCTTCTTCTTCCACCTCCTTCATTTTCAAGGCTTCCCTTCCCTCCACTACTGTATGGCCCTCTAGTTCAGGGTTCGTTGCCACTGAAACGTCTCCAGAACTCAGTTTTTTTTTGTTTTGTTTTGGGTTTTTTGCTCGGTCTTTTGCTCCCTTCTTGGCAGAGAAAGCGGATTACACTGGTAAAACAAACTGGCAATTCAACCAGTAAAATCACTGAAATAATTCATTTGGCGAGAGTTTAGTCATTATTTTGGCAGATTAGTTTCATTTTAATTATTTAAAGGGGCACTGTTCTGTAGAATCGACATTTTGGGTTTTACATCATGTTATAATGTTAATCCTTCATGAAAAACATGTCTGGAGTGATGCCTTGATTCTTTTATACATGTTTGAGAAACCCTTTAATCTCCTGTGGCAACCATTCAGCTCTGCAAAATGCCTGAGTGGAGCTACAATTCCAATACTCCCCTCCCTCCACTGAGCTCCTTCAGACTAGCCAACAGCAATTAGCAAACACCTGGTGGAACTGAGCATCTGCTGAACTCGTTATAGGAGCTACTTGACTTTGAAACACTGGTAAAAAAAAAAAAAAAAACGTTGCTAAAGGGTAAATAGAGAAGCCTTGTTATGATGAGTTCCTAAGAGGGACTTTCAAAAGAGACAGAGGCCCAATTTCAAGGCATTAAATTACAAAGTAAAATTTCTTTTACTTGCAGTTGCTTTCATAAACAACTGTTGCTTTTCATAACAGTTACTTGACTGTGCTATAAAATGGAATCATATGCCTGGAGAATAGACAATGCTCCCCTTTTAAATCACAAATTCAACATTTATTTATATTTTAAACCTACTCTAGATAGTTTGATTCAAATGAATATAATTATTCAAGAAAATCAGGTTGCAGATATTCTACACTAACTTCAGAGCAGGGATCTGCAACCTGTGGTGCAGGAGCAGCAGGTGGCCCTTTGGACCTTCTGCCATAGCTAAAAATGAGAATGTACCATCTAATAATTTATGTACCATCTAATAATTTATTTATAACAAAGACTAGTTTTGATTACAACTGGTTACACTGACACAAAATTGTTTTCAGCACGGCTTTGGTACCTACGAAGGTTAAAAGTTCGTCTGTCACATGAAGGAGGGATTCAGCATCCAGATCTTTAACTGACTGGATGAAACTCCATCAGCATAGCACCAGACGTTTGTCTGGCCCGGTTTCTGTCTGTGATGACTGCAGCTGGGTTTGAATAGAAACGAAAGCGCTGCGATTGGTCAAATGTGATAGTCTGAGCAGAAACTGCTTGTGTACGTTGGTGCTAGTCAGGAAGACAAAGAACAAAACGTGCTCACACAAGTTTTCAGTGAAATCAGAAAAACTCACTATGTTTGTTGCTACTCACTGTTTGGAATAAAAAGTCACGACAGGTGAGTGATTTTTGATTTTTACAACACACGGCTCATATCTGGATTTGACCGCTAAATTACATTTCCAAACTAATATGCTTGATTAAAATGGCTAATATTTGAAACCCTGCAAAAATCCCTTTTTATAGTGCAGTGGCTCGGGTCCTAGGGTGTGCATCTCGTCCTCACCTTCCCCTCCTCCCCCCCTGCTCTCCTCCTCATCCATCCTAGGAGATTCAAATCCTTTTAGCTTCTTCCTCAGGTAAAATTGCCAAGGACCTTGTGAGCCCTGGGTTCCCCTGGAGGTAAAATCTATAATGGAGTTTTGATATGAGCAGGAACAGCCTTGAAAATGGACTTCTTTAACTAGCTGGCTGCCTCGCAGAAGGTCAGCAGTACTCCAGGTGGACACAACATGCCATGACTGTGTTAGAAAAAGGCAGAACAAAGGAACAGTTTTACTCCAAAGACAGTGACCTGCAGACACTGTTGTAAGCAAACAAACAAAAAAATCAAACTGCTGCGCTGCTTTCCTCCACCACTTTGTGAGGGAATTAGTTCGACATCACTTCCAGTTTCACCACCAGGACGGAAGCCCATGTGCGTCTCAGTGGGACGGACGGCCTCTCATTTGGGTTCATCTCCTAGTAGAAATGTTGGAAACGGTCAACAAAATGTTTCTGCAAAAAAAAAAGAAAAGAGAAAAAGACTCGGCATAAAATATAAATAGATGATCACTTTACATTTGGTGAATATTCTTTTCTCCTCTTTTTAATACTTTTACTAACAGACAGAGGGCACCAAAAGCTCAGTTTTGAACCGAGGTCTGTTGAGACATCCTTGACAGATGATCTGAAGCTCTGTGTGTATTTAACAGTGGCTGTATATTGAAATGTTATGATAGCCTTTAACTTTAGCTACAGGGTAGGATTACACACACACACACACACAGAGAGAGAGAGAGATGTGGTTATTAAACATTTAAATGTTTTAGCTCTCAAGACATTGTGTATTAATAATGAGATAACATCAATCCAACCATAGCTGCCCAGCCCTGTTCAGGAGAGCAGAGTGAGCATCACAGTGAGCGCAGCGTGCAACACGGAAACGAACGGAGGGAAAAACGGCAATGCACCAGAGAACATGTAAAACACACACACACACACACGGACGCACACACACAAACGCACAAAAGGAGATGGTGGCCACTAATAATCCTGAAGAGGCAAAACAAAGTAAACTAATATGTAATGTAGTTTGTATTTTTTTTTAAATACCTTGATTTTCCCTGTTAGTTCACTTCTAGAGTCTCATAAAACCTGATCATCTGATGTGTTCACTCGGCCTCTCCAGCCCTTTCTAAATTAAAAAAATCCAACACTTGCATAAATGTTGAGATTATGTGTATTTGGGATCCTTGTATCGTTTGGAAAATTAAATTTAATCTCTTTTATAGGATAAAAATTGTTTTGACAAAAAAACAAACCT